CGAGCGTGCGCCCCTCGTGCGTGCGCCCCTCGAGCGTGCACCCCTCCTGCGGGGAGAGGCAGCCTAGGCCTGCTGCTCCCACTGCCCGACCTGGGAGAGTGGCGGGAGGGGAACGCTTAGGGAAGTCTAACCCAGCGGCTCCGGGTTCTGAAGTAGGGTTCTGCCCGCTGCCCGCTACTCTTCCCAGAACGCAGGGGCGCACGCCTCGCGTTCTCCCCGACCACCGGCCACCCGGCTGCGCGGAACCCTTGCGGCCCCGCCAAGCCCCAGCCCCAGCCTGCGCCAGCCCCTCCGGGCACCACGAGAGCCTGCCAGCGGCCCGGTCAGGGCCGGCTTCTCTAGCACACGAACTGCCACGTGAGTTGTATTTAACTCACGCTAGTTTTGAGGCCGGGGCCTCGTGAAGCATACGTAACTCCCATCTCTTCACCTTGGGAACCCCGAGAATTATTTTTCAAGTTGCATATAAGTCACCCACAGAAAATGATAAAAAATAACACATTTTTCATTAAATTAGAAAGGATCGTTTTGCTTTCGAAGCACTTATTCTACTTTCGCGATAAAACTCCGTGGCCCCAAGGAAAAACATTCTTTTCCTAGCGTGGCAGCAGGGGGCTGGAGACAGGCGGAGGCGGGCGGGCGCAGACCGGGCGCCGGGCGGGCGGCAGGCAGGGCGGACTCGGGTCCGCAACTCCGCGCCGCACGAGAGGGCCGTCCCCGCCGGAGCCCCGCCGGCCCGGCCTCGCCCGCCAGCTCCTCCGCGCCCCTCCGTCCGCTGCCCCGCGCGGCGCGCCCGCCCCTCGGCCCCGCGTGGCGTACCCGACAGCAGCGGCAGCAGCAGCAGCAGCAGCAGCAATGGCGGGGCGGCGCGCGGGGCCCATGCCTCGGCGGGACGGGCGGCGGGACGGGCGGCAGACGGCGGCGCGGTCGGCGGTCGGTCGGCGGCGGAGACGGGCGCGGAGACGGCGCGGAGACGGGCGCGCGTCGGCGGCGGAGACGGGGCGGCGCGGACGGGGCGCGCGCGTCGGGGCGATGACGCAGGGCGGGCCGCGTGTCGGGCGGCGCGGTCGGGCGGGGAGAGGCGCGCGACGGGCGGCGGGTCCGGGCGGCGGGACGGGCGCGCGGTCGGGCGGCGGGACGGGCGGCGGGACGGGGCGGCGCGAGCGAGGGCGGGCGCGGGGGCGCGCCAGGGAAGGGCTGCGGGGCATGGCGCGTCCCGCAGCCGAGCCTGCGCCCCTCCGGCCGCGCTGGCCGCACCGACGGCCTGGCGCCGACCGGGCCGCGCAGGTCCCGTCCCGCCGGGAAGAAGGGGCCGAGCCGCTGTGCCCGGCTTCCGGGGCGCGCGCAGCCTCCGCAGGGGCTGGGAGCTGCGCCAGGCGCCGCCCCAGGAGAGGCTCTCACGTGCCCTCGAAAGGAGAACGCCAGTATTTGACGCTGGCGACCAGCGTTAATTGTTAAATGTTTCGCACGCAATACCAGTATTTTTTTTTAAGTCCTTATAGTTTAGGGGCTGGGTGGCGGGTTGAAGTCTGCCCAAACAATGTTGGCCATGAAATTGTTGAGGCTCGGTGATTGTACCTGAGCATTTGTTATACTATGATATTTTCTTTAATTTAGAATAAGTTTGAAATATTCTTTAATAAGAAGTAAAAGACACGAAAAAGGAAACAAAATTTAAATTGAGGTTTCTCTTCTGACAAGCAATCGGAGAGGGCACCGGCTTCCCACTGGTAGCCCCTGGCAGAACCTGCCTGTCTACCCGCCCCACCATCTGCAACCCCGGTGGCCCCAGGAACAGTGCAGTGACTCCGGGGACCGTGGGGGCCTTGGCCTCTCTGACTGCCCACCAGGGATGGGGGCACCTCCAGAAGGCTTCCTTGATGTTCTTTATCACAGGAGGAAGGAGTTTGTGGTAAACTCTCCCCTTGGCATTCAGGAAAGGGGAGTGGCCTTTGTTATTTCCAGATTGGGTTGCTTACCCATGTTAAAACCAAACAAGAGGAGACAGTTTGCAGGACCCATCTTTCAGGACCCCCATGAAAGAATTCTCATCCTCCTGGCAAAAATCCTTCATTTGTAAAATATTGCAAATCACGCATCCAACAGAGGACTTGTATCCGTGAACTAAAATAAAATATAAAATCTTAAGGCTCACCCCCCCACTGGCTGACTGGAACCCCTCTTGGCCCAGGGAATATTCCAACACTAAATTGTTTGCCAGGAGGAGGAGGTCAGACATGCTCATCATGCCACCCCCCACACACACCTTCTAGGGGACATCCTTTGTAACCCATTAACAGGCCTACGTGTATGCAAGACAAACCTTCAGATCCTCAATTTACACAACAAATCTATGTCTGGTGGCTGGTCTCTGATAAATAGCTTATTATCTTAAAACATTCCAAGCTGGGGGTAGGGGACAAGGGCAACATAGGTAACCTAAACATTTGTACCCCATAATATGCAGAAATAAAAAAAAAAACATTCCATGCCTTTAGACAAAACTTCATGTCTTTAACCAATTACAAGTCAAATAATCTTGAAACCCACCTATAACTTGTAAGACCTCACTCCCACTTCAAGATGGCCCATCTTTTCAGGCCAAACCAAGGTATGCCTCCCACATATTGATTTATGACTTTACCTGTAACCTCTGTCTCCCTGAAATGTATAAAACCAAACTGTAACCTAACCACATCGAGTCCACTTGCTTAAGGTTTCTTGAGCATGGCTCCAGGTCATGGACCTCAAATTTGGTTGAGAATAAATCTCTTTAACATTATTTTACAGAGTCTGGCCTTTTTTCCCTTGACATATCCAGAATATATAAAGAACCCTCAAAACTCCACAGTAAGCATAGATGAGTATGAGGGATCTTATTGGAGTGATGCAGATGTTCTAAACCTGGATTATGGTGACAAACTTAACTAAAACTCATGGAATTGTACACTTAAAATGGGTGGATTTTATGATATGTAAACTGTACGTCAATAAAGTTGTTTTGGCCAGGCAAGGTGGCTCACACGTATAACCCTAGCACTCTGGGAGGCCGAGGCAGGAGGATCACTTGAGTTCAGGAGTTCAAGACCATGAGCAAGCACGAGCAAGAGCAAGACCCTGTCTCCACTAATAGTAGAAAAATTAGCCAGGCGTTGTGGTAATGTGCCTGTAGTCCCAGCTACTCAGGCGGCTGAGACAGGAGGATCACTTGATTCCAGGAGTGTGAGGTTACTGTGAGCTACTGTGAGCTACTCCACTGCACTCTAGCCCAGGTGACAGAGCAAGACTCTGTCTTAACAACAACAAAAAAGTGGTTTATAAAACCACATTTAGTAACCACTCAATAGTAAGAAAACCAACAACACAATTTAAAAAATAAGATTTAGACACTTTGCCAAAGAGGATATACAGAGGACAAAAGAGTACAACAATTGGTAATTGTTGAGGCTCATTGATTTGCACCTGGAGGTTTGTTATGCCATAATATTTTCTCTACTTTATAATATATTTGAAATGTTCCTTAATAAAAAAATAAATAAAAAGTAAAAAAATGTTCTTCACTAGCCATTATGGAAATGCAAATTAAAACCAGGATAATATGCCTGTTCCCATCCACTAGAATAGCTAAGCTAGAAAGCAAACACTGTCAACACCAAGTGCAAACCGGATTGCAGAGCAGGGCACTCCGACTTTGGAGGGTTGCAAAAGGGAATAGCCGCCTCAGAAACCAGTTTCTCATATAGTTACACATACACTTACCATATAACCCAGCAATCACATGCCTGAGTGTTTATCTAGAGAAATAAAAACTTTTATTCACACAATCCTATACGTGACTATAGCAGCTCTATTCATAATTGCCAAAACCCAGAAACCGCCCAAGTGTGCTTCAGTGCCCATACAACCGAACACTGCCTACCAACACAAAGGAGCAAACCACCCACACCCTCAAAACCGAGGAATCTTACAGGCATTCTGCTGAATGAAAGCCACCGGTCTCCAAAGGTGACATACTGTATGATTCCATTTAAATGGCATTCTTGAAGAGACCGGGCGTCAGTGACCGAGGCAAGCAGGTGGTTCCTAGGAGTGGAGGGCTAGACTGGAGGAGCAGCAGCAGGGAGCCGTCTGGGCTGCAGATGCCCCCTGTGTCCTGGCTGGGTGGCTGCACACATCTATCACTTGTTTTGAAATTCATAGAACTATGCGTTTAAAAGTCCATTTTCTCGTATAACTATTAAAAATCCCCCTCCATTCCCCACACGTGCCGAGTGCCCACGGCGTGCAGGCGCCGTGCAGGGCACTGCGAGGAGGCAGACCCGCCCCGACGCCACAGCGGTGCGCCCTGCGCTTGCAGTCGTGGAGGAGGGCCGCGGCCCACAGGAGGGGCACCAGAGCCTGAAGGAGGAGGCGGAGCCATTCATTCATTCGTTAGACAAACATTTATTGAGCGCCACCGTGTGCCGAACCCCGTCCCAGGCCGGGGATACGGCGAATGTGCAGGGGCAGAGGCTGCTCTCGCGACACGTGGCGAGTGGGCGGCTGACTCCAGGTGCGGGGAGCGCTGGAGGAAGGGGCAACGCGGGCGTGGGGAGGCTGCTTTAGAATGAAAGGGTGATTAAGGAACGCCTCTCGGAGGGGGCGTCATTGCAGCAAAGAAAGGGCGGGGCAGGGCCTGAGGCGTGCGGTGTGACGGGCTGGGCGCGCTGGGGGAGGGCTCCGGTGGAAGTACAGCAAGTGCACAGGCAGCGTGAAGGCTGGACAAGGAGACGCGTGGAGAGGAAGGCCCGGATGCTGGCTCCACCCTGACACACAGTAGGTGCTGCCAGTGTGCGCATCTTTACCTCCAGTGCCAGGTGCAGGGAAGGAAGATGAGCCGCAATTAAACTGTTCGAAGCACCCTGCAGCTGGGGTTTCCTGGGGTTCCTCCAAGGCATTCAGAGAGGATAGTGCAAGCCCCCATCCTTGCCTCTCCCAGCGGTGGCTGGTTTGATGGGCTGAGGGTCAATGGTCACATGTTTATCTAGAGCCTCATCAGCCATGACCCAGAAGAAAGCAAGCTGCCCACTTGGCCACTCACAGCGCCTCACTCCACAAGCGAGGGCCCCTCAGAAGGCGTGTGGGTCTGGAAGAGGGGGGGTAGGAAGAGCCCCACAGTGCCCAGGATGCACACAAACACGAAGACCCACAGGAACAGCCGGTCGACCACCATGGCCACGTACTTCCAGTCCTCAACGACCTGCGGGTAGACAGAGGGGCTGGTTACAGGTGCCAAGCACTGGAGTCCCTCCTTCCCCCGAGTCAGGGCTTCACTATCTGGTCAGGGACCCCACAGGCCCCGGGCTTGGCATCGAGTACTGGAATGGCAAGATCTGAGTCCAAGGTTGGTCTCTCAGCTGGGCAACTCTGTGCCTCTCTGGGTGTCCTCCATCTGGACACACATGGCGTTGCAGGGCCGCTGGGAACTTGGGCTGCACAGAAAAGTTAGGAGTGTAAAGAATCATTGATATCACACATTCTGATTTGAAAACCGAATCTGGTTATAAATACAAGGGGATGAGGCCTGCAAGGCCCCTTCTTTTCATTTTTATCCCAAACCCTCTGCCTGAGCTAGTTCTGTCTAAAAGAAGATTTGGGGCCCACCTAGCTCAATGGAGCGGGGCAAGGAAGGCTTGCAGAACACCTGGAAATCCTACTGTTTAATTTGCTCAGTTCCATTCGCAGCAGCATCTGTGTTCTGTAATTAAGAGTCAGTCTTGGCCAGGCGCAGTGGTTCACATCTGTAATCCTAGCACTCTGGGAGGCCAAGGCAGGAGGATCACTCGAGGTCAAGAGTTCAAGACCAGCCTGAGCAAGAGTGAGACCCTGCCTCTACTAAAAAAAAAAAAAATAGAAAGAAATTATCTGGACAACTAAAAATATATAGAAAAAAATTAGCTGGGCACGGTGGCGCATGCCTGTAGTCCCAGCTACTCAGGAGGGTAAGGCAGGAGGATCGCTTGAGCCCAGGAGTTGGAGGTTGCTGTGAGCGAGGCTGATGCCACGGCACTCTAGCCCGGGCAACAAAGTGAGACTCTGTCTCAAAAAAAAAAAAAACCACCCAGTCTCCTCCTGCTGCATCATCTGGGTCTCTTTCTGCCTCTGCCATCTCTTTCTGTCTCTGTCTCTGATCTTCTCAGACTTGGCTGTGGGGTGTGAGGTTGGCAGAGACCTGGCTGGCCACCAGAGGTGTCACTACAGATGGGCCTGCCTCCTTTGCACTGGGTGACATGTGTGCCCGGCACCTGTGTTCACACCCCACCTGTCGGCTCACTCGACACATTCCTGGTAGAGAGGGCCCGATCAGAAGGCCCTGAAGGTCAGCAGAGGCTCCGGAGTTGGAAATGTGGGTGGCAACAGGCAAGCTGACATTAGTGACCCAATTTAGCAGGTCCCCATCAATGGTGTGTGTCTACCCTCCAGGAGAATGCTAACACATCAGCCCCTACACTCCCGACCACACGCGCTGGCGCCTGCCCCTAAGATGCAGCAGGTGCAGCACACAGCACTCCTCGGCTTTCTTTTTGACAGTCCTAATTTCAAACAGCTTGTGTGTGTATGTGTGTGCTTTTCCCCTCATTTTATATTTTTGTGCTATTTATAGTGACCAGTTGATCACTAGGATGGGTGAAAGTGCTGAAGATGAGAAGCGCATGGGTGGGCTTGGCGGTGGGCAGGCTCTGGAAGGGGAGAAACCCCCTTTTCTCCACCTAGACATGAGAAAGGCAACAACCAATAAGTCCACCATGTGTCAGTATAGGGCAAGGCACTGGGAAGGGCAAGAGAGTTTAAGGACATTGGATAGATTTGGGTAGAGAGCCTGGCTCTGCCCCACGTCTGCAGTGTGGTGCCAGGCAAGTCAGTGAATTTCTCTGGGCCTCCCTCCCCCAGTGTAAAAGGGGGTGCTGGTAAATCCACTTCACAGGGTTCCTGGGAAGGTCAGCAGTGATGCGTGTCAGCTCCTGGCAGAGCACCTGATGTGCGACTGGAGCATTAAGAATGGCTGGGGACGGGCGTGGTGGCGCGTGCCTGTAGTCCCAGCCACTCGGGAGGCTGAGGCAGGAGGATCACTTGAGCCCAGGAGTTTGAGGTTGCTGTGAGCCAGGCTGACGCCACGGCACTCACTCTAGCCTGGGCAACAAAGTGAGACTCTGTCTCAAAAAAAAAAAAAAAAAAAGAATGGCTGGGGATTATACTAACAGTGGGTCTGCCTGGCTCCTTCCCCCAAGACAGCTTGAGGAAAGGAGCCAATGAATGTTTAGGGGCCAATGAATTAGGTGATGCCGAGCTACTGAATGGTTTTAAACTAAAAAACAGCATGATCAAATTATTTTTTCAGGAAGTGAAATCTGAGTCCTGTACAGTTGTGCTTCTCAAACTGGAATGCTCCTAGGAACCCCCTGGGGACCTGCTTAACATGCAGATTCTGAGTCAGCAGGTCTGGGGGGCCTGAGAGTCTGCATTTCAACAGCTCCTGGGTGATGCCATTGCTGCTGGTCTGAGGACTACACTCAGAAGACTATCTTGCATCCTATATTCCATTTGTTAGCAATAATACATTTGCACAGTGTGATTTTGGAGCTTTTCAGCCTGTTCTTTTCTCTAATGGAATGCCAGTGCTTCCCTTGGGAATGCAGCTAGTGAAAAGGTATCTCAGAAATATAAGAACAAGGAGATGTCCTCTTTTTTCCAAGCAGCTGCAAAGGGGGAGACACTATGTTATGTGGTAAAAACCTGTTCAAAGAATCTGACCTGATAAGGTGTGGAAATGAGAACATTCACAAGAGTATGAAACTTGTTCTCCTGCCTGGCACAGAAATGTACATGCAAATTTCAGTCATTGTCACATTCTGTGTTCAGTTGTCATAAAGTTGTCTTTAGAAGTGTTATTTCTACTCCTGTAAGCATCTTGCAAGTCTGAAGAGGATGGGGGCAGGTGCACCCCATCCCTCCATGCCTCAGCCCACCAGAGTTCCCCAAAGGCTGCAGAGTCATCTCCCAGCCCACTGACAGCCTCCCCTTTCCTCTTCTCTGCTCCAGGGCTTTCTCCAGCGTCAAGCTGCTTGCTCTGGCAGGCTGGCATAACCGCAAGGGCAGGGGAGTTAATGTCCTGGGGCCACCCTCAACCCACAGGGGCTCTGCAAGATGGCTGAGCCTGGGGTCCCACAGCAGTATCCTGCTTATTCCACCCTCCTCTGGCTTTCCTCCCTCCCCACCTTTTTCCCCTCCGCCTGAGCATAAAACTCATTTCAGTTTTAGATTCCCTATTCAATCAGAGTTTGAGAGTCCTCGTTTCGTATGAATTTACTCAGGAAGTGGGAGACTGGTGCTAACTCTCTGAGCCTTTCTGTCGGGAGGTGGGCAGGGCCTGCGCTAGCAACTCACACTCTGGTCTTGATCGTCACTCTTCATGTGCTGCGCGATGAAGCTGACGCCCTCTAAGGCCTCCTGCACATCCTGCCGGAACCTTCCCGAGGACCTGAGCCGGAGAGCCCCGGAGTCCGGGCGGGCGGGAGACTTGGGAGCGGCAGAGCCAGAGCTCACACAGTACATGGAGTGCCCACACGGGCTGGAGGGGCTGGCAGGGCCCACGGCAGAGGCAGCAGAGGTGGTGGCCTCAGTCTTCAACAGGCGTGACTGGCCGGGCTGGGGGGCCCTGGCCGGGCTGCTGGCGGGGCCCGGGCGCTTCATGTAGAGGAAGGAGGGCAGCTTGTGTAGGAAGCAGCGCTTGACCCAGGGCGCCATGGTGTGGGTGCTGGGCGAGCGGTGGTGCACGTTGAGCACGCAGACGCTGGTGACGATGGAGAAGGTGACCAGCACCATGGTGAACATGAGGTACTTGCCGATGAGCGGCACGTCGAGGGAGGTGGGTGGCACGATCTTGGAGATGAGCAGCAGGAAGACCGTGAGCGCCAGCAGCACGGAGATGCACAGCGTCATCTTCTCACCGCAGTCGGACGGCAGGTAGAACACAAGGATGGCCAGCGAGGTGATGAGCACGCAGGGGGCGATGAGGTTGATGGTGTAGAAGAGCGGCTTGCGCTTGATGATGAAGTCGTACGTCACGTCCACGTAGCTGGGGTCCTGTGGGTTCACCGTCCTTCTCCCAGGGAGGGCCATGATATCCCATTCACCACTAGGAGTGAAGTCATCCATGCTGGCCGTGGGTGACATAAGGACCATGTCAATCTCCGTGTGGTCGTAGGTCCAGGAGCGGAACTTGAGGGTGCAGTTCTGCTGGTCGAAGGGAAAGTGCTTCACCTCGATCTTGCAGGCACTCTTGTAGATGGCAGGGGGCAGCCACTGCACGCTGCCGTTGGAGCGCACCACCACGTTGGTGTAGACGGACACCTCGTAGGTCCCGTCGGCGCTGGGGGCAGGGTGCATGGAGAAAGCCATGAAACCGCAGACAAGGCCCGGCCTGGCCTCAGAACCCACTACCTTAGGGTTACTTCCCATTGATCGCCCTTCCCACCCCCAGGCCCTCACGGAAACGGACCTGCTTTTCTCAGCAACGGTGTGGTAGAGAGATCCCTACCATGAAGCACTCTGAAGGCTTCACGTGAATAGCCCTGTAAGCCTCACAATAGTCCAGCAAGGTAGATTTTATTATTATCCCCATTTTATAGGCAGGAAAGCCAAGGCCCAGAGGAGTTAAAGTAACTTCTTCAAGGCCAGAAAACTAGTAAGTGGTACAGCTGAGATTTGAACTCAGGTCTATGTGCTACTGCTGGTGTAACTATGACCCAGGAAGAGTCTCTTTAGCTCCTTCCACCTACCTAAGACACCTACGCACAGTCAGTCAGTGTGGCCAGCAGCCAGCACCGACGAAGCAGCCGAGGCTCAAAAAGACAGTGTGGAGGACAGAAAGCACTGGGTCACAGCGACACCCCATCTGTGACTAAGGGCACTGGTCTGCTCAGCTCTGTGCCCTTCAGCTTGAGGTCCCAGTGGAGCACAGATGGCCCGGGTTGGACTCAGGCCGGATGACCAGGGGTTGGGCCTGCTGCCCGGCCAACCCTGCCACTCACTTGTTGTAAAGCACGATGTCAGGCAGCCAGATGCGCCTTGCGGGGATCCGCAGGATGTTCACGCCCTCGTAGCGAGAGCTGTTCCAGGCCAGGCGGTAGTCAGTCCATTCCTGAACAGACAGGCAGGGCCCTGTCACTTGTAGGTCCATCACTATCGACGGGCAGCTCTGGAGGAAGCATCTCCTGGGCTGGGGACCCTGCAGGGCACTTACCTGTTTCAGCCAGACGTTGGTGGTCATAATCTGCTCCCGCTCATTCTGGGGAGGAAAACAGAGCTGTCAGTTCACAGGGAAAGAGGAGCCCTCACAAATGGATCATGCTTTATCATGCCAAAGGCTCTGAGCTCCAGGCCCATGTGATTGACTGCCACTCAACATCTCTTGGATGGCTCACCAGGTATTTCACCCCCAGCGTGTCCAAGACAAAGCTCATGACCCCCCACTGGCCCTCCTTTGGCATTGCTGTCTCAGTGCATAGCAGCCCTAGCCATCGGGTTGCACAAGCCAGAGACCTGGGAGTTGATCTCACACTCTGCTCTCAGACCTGTCAGTAAGTCCTGCAGGCTGTGTCTCCTACATGCATCTCAAATCTCCCTTCTTCCACCTCTGATGCCACCATCACCTGTCACCTGGACCACTGCAGTAGCCCCCTGACTGGTCTTCCTGCTCTGCCCTGGCCTGCCTTTAGTCTGTTCTCTGCAAAACAGACAGGGGAATCCTTGTACAATCTCAAGCCCTTAGACTATATCACTCTGCTCAAACCCTCCACTGCTTCCCCGTCTTATCCAAAGTAAAAGCCAAAGTCTTGCTCAGGGTCTATAAGGCCCTAACGATCTGCCCCTACCATGCCCCCACCCCGATGAGCTCCATTACCTCATACCTTAATACTTTGCCCCTTGCTCACTCCCATTCCGCCATGTGTTTGCTTCTGCCTTCGCACACCTTGTTCCCTTCACCCTAGAAATCCACCCAGATGGCTTCCTCCCTTTCCTCAGGTGTCAAAAATGTCACTTTATCAGAGAAGTCTTCTCCAACCTTCCTATAGAAAACACCTTGCTTTATTTTTCTTCATAGCACTTATCACCCCTGGACACAATTTATCTATTTGTGTATTGTCTACCACTTCCCACTAGGATCTAAGGACCTTGAGAAAAGGTATCAGGTACTCAGTAAATATTTTCTGAATGAATACATGAATCCTACCACAGTAATCCAGGCTACAATTGTCCATCTCTACCTGGACCCTGAAAGGCCCTCCACGCTGATGTATGTCCATTCTGCACCACACACGCACACATCTATCCTTCCTATGCAGCCAGAACGATCTTCCCAAAGTTCCTGCCATTTCCCAACTTAATCTTATCCCTGTTTAGGTCCCTTCTTGACTTCCTTCACATGCAGAATAAAAACTCCTTCACAGGGTCTACAGGTCCTCGTCAACTTTCCCAGTCTCCTTTCACCTCCCTGTGCCCCTTTATTCTGTGCTCCAGCCCCCTTGGCCTTCTTTAGCTCTTTGAATGTGTCTCATGCTTTCACTCTGTGCTATATTTCCTGCCCCCTCTTCATCTTGATAACTTCTAGCATCCTAATGTCACCTTGGGACTCACTTCCTCAAGGAACCTTTCCTGAACTCTCAACTGGGGAATATATCAGTAGGATGAGGTTGGGCTGCTAGTATTAGAGAGCCCGAGTAAACCAGGCTTGGCTTCAACAAAGGAGACGTCTACGTCCCCCTCATGTAGCAGTTCGGATATATATGGTGGTTCTGCTCTGCAAAGTTCTTAGGTCCCCAGGTTCATTCCAGCTTTGTTCTCTACCACACCTAGAATGTGGACCTCATCTGCATGGTCCAAGATGACTGCTGGAACTCCAATCATAACATCCGTGTTCCAGGATGTTGGGGGAAGGGTAACTGGAGGGAGAAGGATATATGCCAGTCGTCTCATTGTGATTATTTAAGCCATTTACATTTCATGTAGTTGCTAATATATCTGGGTTTAAACCTACCATTTATCTATTTTGTTTGTTCCCTTATCTCTCTTTCCTTGATTTGTTTTGGATTAACTATTATTCCATTCCTCCCCATATTAACATGACTTTTCTTTTAGTAGTTACCCTTAGGGCTACAATATACATACTTGACTTTTTAGAGTCAAATATAACTTATTACTTTCACCACTCCTAAAGCAAGACAAGGACTTTAGAACGTTTCAACTCCATCTACGCCCTCCTGACTTTTGCACTACTATTGTCATGTGTTTAGTTATACATATCGTCGAATCTTTGCAAGATATTTTTATTGTTTTATAGTATTAATAAACTTAAAATCCATCCATATAGTCACCGTTTCTGTTGTACCTCGTTCTTTCTCACATGTCTGTGTTTCCCTCTGGGATCATTTTCCTTATGGTAAAAAACCTCCTTTAGTATTTTCTTTAGTATTTGGATCTCCTGGCATTAATTTCTCTCTCTCTCTTTTTTATTTTTTGGTCTGAAAAAAATATTTCTCCTTCATTTGCAAAAGATAGCTTCAAAATCCTTGTCTAATTCTAGGTTTGCAGTTTTTTTTCTGTAGTACTTTAAAAAATGTCTTTCTAGGGCTGGCGCAGTGGCTCACGCCTGTAATCCTAGCACTCTGGGAGGCCGAGGGAGGAGGATCGCTCAAGGTCAGGAGTTCAAGACCAGCCTTAGCAAGAGTGAGACCCTGTCTCTACTAAAAATAGAAAGAAATTATCTGGACAACTAAAAATATATAGAAAAAAATTAGCTGGGCACGGTGGCGCATGCCTGTAGTCCCAGCTACTCAGGAGGGTAAGGCAGGAGGATCGCTTGAGCCCAGGAGTTGGAGGTTGCTGTGAGCGAGGCTGATGCCACGGCACTCTAGCCCGGGCAACAAAGTGAGACTCTGTCTCAAAAAAAAAAAAAACCACCCAGTCTCCTCCTGCTGCATCATCTGGGTCTCTTTCTGCCTCTGCCATCTCTTTCTGTCTCTGTCTCTGATCTTCTCAGACTTGGCTGTGGGGTGTGAGGTTGGCAGAGACCTGGCTGGCCACCAGAGGTGTCACTACAGATGGGCCTGCCTCCTTTGCACTGGGTGACATGTGTGCCCGGCACCTGTGTTCACACCCCACCTGTCGGCTCACTCGACACATTCCTGGTAGAGAGGGCCCGATCAGAAGGCCCTGAAGGTCAGCAGAGGCTCCGGAGTTGGAAATGTGGGTGGCAACAGGCAAGCTGACATTAGTGACCCAATTTAGCAGGTCCCCATCAATGGTGTGTGTCTACCCTCCAGGAGAATGCTAACACATCAGCCCCTACACTCCCGACCACACGCGCTGGCGCCTGCCCCTAAGATGCAGCAGGTGCAGCACACAGCACTCCTCGGCTTTCTTTTTGACAGTCCTAATTTCAAACAGCTTGTGTGTGTATGTGTGTGCTTTTCCCCTCATTTTATATTTTTGTGCTATTTATAGTGACCAGTTGATCACTAGGATGGGTGAAAGTGCTGAAGATGAGAAGCGCATGGGTGGGCTTGGCGGTGGGCAGGCTCTGGAAGGGGAGAAACCCCCTTTTCTCCACCTAGACATGAGAAAGGCAACAACCAATAAGTCCACCATGTGTCAGTATAGGGCAAGGCACTGGGAAGGGCAAGAGAGTTTAAGGACATTGGATAGATTTGGGTAGAGAGCCTGGCTCTGCCCCACGTCTGCAGTGTGGTGCCAGGCAAGTCAGTGAATTTCTCTGGGCCTCCCTCCCCCAGTGTAAAAGGGGGTGCTGGTAAATCCACTTCACAGGGTTCCTGGGAAGGTCAGCAGTGATGCGTGTCAGCTCCTGGCAGAGCACCTGATGTGCGACTGGAGCATTAAGAATGGCTGGGGACGGGCGTGGTGGCGCGTGCCTGTAGTCCCAGCCACTCGGGAGGCTGAGGCAGGAGGATCACTTGAGCCCAGGAGTTTGAGGTTGCTGTGAGCCAGGCTGACGCCACGGCACTCACTCTAGCCTGGGCAACAAAGAAAATCCTGGCGCCTCAAGTGATCCTCCTGGGCTCAGGTCCTCCCGAGTGGGCTGGACTACAGGCAGCGCGCAGAACGGGCCCGTCCCCAGCCCAGTTCGTTAATGCTCCAGTCGCTCAGGTGCTTGGCAGGAGCTGACACGCATCATGCTGACCTTCCAGGAACCCTGTGAAGTGGATTACGCAGCACCCCTTTTACAACTGGGGTGGGAGGGAGCAGGAAATTCCTGACCTGCCTTGGCACCACACTGCAACGGTGGGGCAGAGCCAGAGTGCTTACCCAAAGCCTACCAATGTCCTTAAACTCTCTTGGCGCACTTCCCAGGTGCCTTGCCCTATACTGACAGCATGGTGGACTTTTGGTTGTTGCTTTTCATGTTCTAGTGGAGAACAAGGGTTCTCCCCTTCCAGAGCCTGCGCCCCACGCCAAGCCCACCATGCGCTTCTCATCTTCAGCACTTCCTCACCCATCTAGTGATCAACTGGCACTAAACATAGCACAAAAATATAAAAATGAGGGGAAAGCCTTACACACATACACACACAAGCTGTTTGAAATTTCAGCGACTGTCAGAAAAGAAAGGCCGAGAGTGCTGTGTGCTGCACCTGCTGCATTTGGCGTTCACGGCGCCAGGGCGTCGTTGGTCGGAGTGTATGGGGCTGATGTGTTAGCATTCTCCTGGGGAGGGGTAGACACATCACATTGATGGGACTGCTAAAATTGGCGTCACTTACATGTCAGCTTGCCTGTTGCCACCCACATTTCCATACTCCGGGCCTTCTTTGCTGACCTTCAGGGCCTTCTGATGCGCGCGCCCTCTCTACCAGGCAACCGTGTCGGGAGTGAGCCGACATGGGGTGGACACAGGCTGGCCGGGCACACTGTCACCAGTGCAAAGAGCAGGCCCAGCTCTGGTAGTGACTCTTCTGCGTGGCCAGGGCCAGCCGTCTCTGCAACCGCTCACACCCCCACAGCCAAGCTGAGAAGATCGAGACAGGAGACAGAAAGAGATGGGGCAGGAGGCAGAAAGAGACCCAGATGGATGCAGCAGAGGAGACTTGGGGTGGTTTTTTTTTTTTGAGAAGAGTCTCATCTTTGTTGCGCCGGGCTAGGAGTGCCGTGCGCTCAGCACTCGCCTCACAGCAACTCCAACTCCTGGGCCTCAAGCGGATCCTCCTGCTACCCTCCTGATAGCTGGACTACAGGCATGGCGCACCATGCCCAGCTAATTTTGTTTCGTATTATTTCTTGTCCAGATATTTCTTCTATTTGATTGTTTTGAGTAGAGGCAGGGTCTCACGTCTGCTCAGGCTGGTCGTCAGACTCGTTGGACGCTCGGAGGGATCCTCTGCTTGGCCTCCCGGATGGCGTTAGAAATATAACAAGATAGATAAGAAAAACACAACATAGCAGACAACGAGAGACCAAAAAGAAACAACTAGAACAAAAAAACGTTATATACGACAAAACAAGATCCAGCATGAAAAAGAAAAAAAGAAAGAATGAAAGAAATGAAAAAGCAAATAATAACAAACTAATTTCCATTGTTCTGCAAGCCTGTCCGCTGCCCGCCCTTACTAGCTGCCCAAATCTTCCTTTTTTACGACAGAACATAGCTCAGGCAGAGGGTTTGGATAACAATGAAGAAGAGGGCCTTGAGGGCCTGATCCCCTTGTTATTTATAACCAGTTCGGTTTCAAATCAGAATGTGTGAATCAATGGGAACTCTTCACACTCCTAACTTTCTGCTGCGCCCAATTCCAGGCGGGCCCTGCAAGTGCATGTGTGCTCCAGATGCGAGGACACCCAGAGAGCACAGGAGTTGCCCAGCTGGAGAGACAAACCTTGCGACCAGATCTTGCCATTCCAGTACTCGATGCCAAGCCGCGGGGCCTGGTGGGGTCCCTGACCACGATAGTGAAGCCCTGACTCGGGAGGAGGGGACTCCACGTGCTTGGCACCTGTAACGCCAGCCCCTCTGTTACCCGCAGGTCGGGTTGGAGGACTGAAGTACGTGGCCTGATGGGTGGTCGGACCGGCTGTTCCTGTGGGGTCTTCGTGTTGTGCG